TTAGACCTCGATCGTTCCCCGGCTCCGCCTTTCCTTCCTCCGACAGTCCAGAGTACGAACAGCGTTGTTGCAGCACACGCGTCGACCACGAGAGGTTCCCCCCGACTTGGAAAGAGTCCTCGTCGACTCGGGTTCTCCTCTTAATATTCTCGCGGTTTCTCCGCGACGACCAAGACCACGCGGAGGAAGAAGAAGAAGAAGAAAGTTGGAAGCCGAGGCAAAGTTCCCGTTGGCCCGTGACACGTTCCTGTTGCTCGGTTCCCGCGGGAGGAGCCGCGCCACGACCGACGCGAGAAATAATAATCCCCGGGGAACGACGGAAGAAGCGGCGAATGGTTAATGCGGTCTCGGGGCCAGCTCGCGACGAGATCGAGCGGATTAGCCGCTCGAGCAAATAGTCGATCTAATTAACGTTTCATCGGGGAATCGCTCTTGCGTCGCTAGCGCGCTACAAATTTCCCTTTTCCCGCGGAAAAGCCCACCCCTTCTCGGCTAACCCCGCTCTCTCGGAGGACTGACAGACGAGTCACGGACGCGGCTCGTTTTAAATAATAACGAGGTCGGTTTAATCGCGTCCGTGAGACGGGTCCGATCCGCTCCGAATATCCACCGTCGCCGATTACTCCGCGAAATTGCGAGCGTCCTCGAGCGACCGCGCTATTATCCTCCGCCTCGGTTCCTCGTTCCCGAGATCCTTGCCCAGGAATCCACCGATTTTTATTAACCTATACTCTCTCGCGGACCCTTCGTATCTCCATCAGCCACGAAACGTCCGTCCAACGCGGCTCGAGTTCTCCACCACCGCGATTATCCAAACCCCGCGAGTTCGAGGTTCGCGAATTCCACTGCTCCAACAGCGTTCCTTATTGGTCCTACGGGACGCGAATGACTGCCGATTCCATCTGTTCGCGTTGCAGGAACGTCATGTTTGATCTCTTCGCGTCGGTTGGAAAGATGGATCCTTGGACTGCGGCGATGAGGTAACGAGCATAGATGAGCGCGTGACGAGCTAACTAGCGGCGCAAACTTGGCGACCAGTTTGGTCCGAGAGACAAGCAGCTTTTCCGTTTTGTCGTCGTAGTCCGGTGTTAAATAAGTCTCTCTCTCTGATTGGCGGAGTCGAAGAAGTTGCGTTCGTTTCCTCTGATGAAACCTGGCTGAAAGCTTCCCTCTTTTTCCCCTTTTTGCCGAGATTTCTCCGGCGCGCGACGGGGTAAAAAGCTGCGATACTCTGGAAACGATCGTCGGCGAGTGGAAGATGAAACGCGGGGAGAGAGCTGGACGGTGATTACGGAGAGGGAGAGAGAGACTGGATTCCTCGGTGGCGTTGCGCTTTTTAATTACCGGCGCATTTTTAATTACCCCGTGGCTCCCGGTGAGCGACGCGACGCAATTTCCACTCGCGATTTTCTATTTTATCGGAGGATATCCGATCGACCCGATCCGAGCATAATTGCAGCTTAGTCCTCTCTAATTGCTTCGCTTTTGGAGCGCCGTTTCGAGCCCGTTTAGAGCATAATTATAACCCCGAGTCGCTCGTAAATCCTCGCCCAACGACCGAGAGAAGTACAAACAGGGACGCGCTCCCTCGGATGCTCCATCATCGTCTCGACGTTCTTCGTTTCTTAATCTCGTTATCGCGCTAATGGTCCACCGATCGTTACCGACTGCTGGGTCTAGTCTTCCTCCAGGCCGCGAAGGAGTGCCGATTTCCTCGCGAATTTCCACTCGCGCGGCAGCGAATCGATCCTCGGAAGCCGAGAATCCGACTCGGCCGAGCTGTGGCTAGATAGCTGTTCCGCGAAAAGGAAGGCGCGCGTTAACCGTGAAAATAACGCGGTTCCGTGAAACCGCTGCCACACGCGCGTGCGTGTTCTCTCGGCCGGCTCTACGATTCGAAGAAACCTTTCGAACCGGTGCACCGATCGATCCTCCGCCGTTATCGTTACCCCTCCGTAACGCGGTGGAGCGCGATTTCGGACGCCCTTTTTCCTCTTAGCCTTTGCGACGCGATTACGAACGTCGTTCGGGTGCAAAGGAGTTTCCGGTTGTCAGGACGAAGGAGAGGAAAATTCGTGGAATTCGCAAGCCTCTAGGACCCGGAGGAAATTTACGAGCTTGGGCCAGGGTCCCCTTTGGTCGCTACCCTGCGGTCCCGTCGCGTTCCAGCTCTGCCTTCGTCACGGAGAAATCGCGGAGCAAGGGACTCTGGTGGTTGAACGGCACGGAATAACCGCTGGGGTGCCGAGGGTAATGGTTTCTCGGTATCCGGGGGAACGAGTATAGCGATCGATTCGTTCCCCATAGCGCTCGACTGGAGAGCGGTGCGCGAGGATATTGGAATAAATGGGGACAGGATTCGGTGGTTGGCAACTCTGCGTGGTTGTCGCGAGCGCGTTGCTGAAAACCCAGGTCGATCGTAAATTCCTCGCGGAGCTTTCCTCGTCTGCTTGTGCACTTTGGAAACGAAGTGGAAACCGCGCGTGTCGGCGACGTGGAAGGGTCGTCGGGATCGCGGAGGAACGCAACGACGCTCGTACGCGGAAACAGACGTCGGTGACACACGGCGGTCTGCGCTCGGAAGGGGGTTGGCAGCGTTTGGAAATTGCGAGTATCGCGAGAAGAACGACGCGTGGCGCGTCGCTTTCGAGGCACGGCGAGTCGGATTTCCATAATCGGGACATAAATCCGGGCGATAACGACGCCGGTGGATCGACGAGCACCGTCGCGAGTATTTCCGAGGGTAGTTTCCACTCTCGGCGCGTAAGTTGCGATACGCCGAGGAAAATCGCGTCGTCCCGGTAATATCGCGGGCGCATGCGAGCCAAAGCCGCGTTTCTTCATCCGCGTGTCGATATTCCCGGTCGTTTACCCGACAGCCTATTCCCTCGTTTACGAGCGTGTCTCAACCGTGCACCGCCGTCTTAATTGCACACCGACGCCCACCACCAGGCTTCGTAATTATTTCCCAAGGTGCTACCGTCTGTCTCTCCCCGAAATCTCGCGGAAATCGGGGTTAGGAGGGGGCGAGTCCCTCCAGGCTCCCGGTCGTCGCTCCGTCCCCCGGGCGGATCGAGGAGAATCTGCACCGGAAATGGAAGAATTCGACGCGGAGGTTCGTTCTCCGGTAAAAATGGAAATGGTCCGTGGCGAGTGGAAGAGGCGGAGAAACGAGGAGGCGGTGTCGAAAGGATCGTCGAGTTCTGAAAACTTTTGTCGAAAAATTTCCGATTATCTCGAAGAGAGAGCGACTCGCCTGGCGGGGGTTGGCGAGTTGGCGGGTTTCGCCAGATGGACTGGCGGGAAGGAATCGGTGCCTTGGGAGAAAGGAGCGAGGATTCCCGTTGGATCGGCGAAGCGGTACCCGTTGGTCACGCGACGCGGTTTCCGTCTACTGCCGGACGCGAGTCGCGGAATCGAGCGCTGCGTTCGCGGAACGGAAGCACGAAGGTCGTCGCGGAGCGCGTGCGTGTCGCGATCGCGCCTCTCGTGCCGCAGCCGCTTCTCGGGAAACGCGCGATCGTCCTAGAAACCTTTTTCCCCTCGACCACGACCGCCGCACGATCCGCTCCGGGGTTGATAATCGCGTGGCAAAGCGCACGGGAAGCGAAGGGGCGAGCGAGGGGAAGCCAGCTCCTCGAATGCCGTCGCTATCTCGCGCCGTTCGCGTAGAGGTAGTGGAGAGTTCGCGGTAACGGCGATCGCGGGAAAAGAGCCAATTCCGGGAACCCCCGGCGACGTCCCTCCCTCTCTTTCTCTCTCCGTCTCCGACCGTCGTCGATGGCGTCGTCGGAGAAACGAGTGGAAAACTCCTCGGAGTTTGGGAAAGACGCACGGTGGTCGGAGAGCAGTGTTAGAGGGAGCGAGAGCGTGTTGCGCGTGTCGGATCGATGGTCGGAGAGAGGAAGCAGCAGCGGGGACGAGCTTTCCGAGAAGAGAGCGGTAAAACGCGATCGTGGGACACGCAGCGACCCGTTGCAAACGTACATATGTACGCGTGGACGCGACAGCGGCCTTTTCCCCTAATCGCTTCCGCGAACAGAAAAGTGGAAGATTACTCGCCTCGAAATCGATCCGAGTCCCTCGGCAATTTGCCAGGGAGAAGCCGGCTCTCGCCGCGCGTACCGTGAAAAATTACGTCCAGCGTGACGAAGAACCAAGCGATCAAACGCACCCCCGCTCCCTGCCCCTCTCTCTCTCTCTCTCTCTCTCCTGTCCAGAGATACCCCCGATAAGCCGAGAGAGGAGAAGAGGCGGCTGTTTCGATTGAAAATATTTTCCCGAGAAGAACCGTATCGAGCCGCGGAATCTCGGTCAGTCTAAGATCGCGGCGACGGCCGAGAGGAAGAGGATTCTGGCCGCGTTACGGCTTCCTCCGCTGTAGCCGCGCTTCCGAGTTGGAGGAAAAACAGAGGAAGCGGCACGACGATCGTCGGATCGATCGGGAGCGATAATCCGAGGAGAGAGAGAGAAAGAGAGGGAGAGAAAGATGGAGAGAGCGTAAAGAGGTTTTCGAGATAAATAGAATCTGGCGGATTTCAATGGATCGTCTTTCCGCGCGAAACTCGATTAAAGTTGGCCGGAACGGCTCGTTTATCGACTCGTTTCTCGTTCTCCCGTTGTTTCTCTTTCATCTCTCTCTTTCTCTCCCTTGTCGGGTTCGTCGTTTAGAAAACCAGGTCGGCAACGAGGTGTGCGGGTTTCCGCGTAGTTACCGCGAAGCAGTCGCGGAACGAGCGCGCGTCCCGGCGCCGAAATTATTTCGCGAAATAAGAAGTCGAGGTAGGGCACGACTGCAATTTGCCGCGACGCGTTCGCGTGCCTGACTCGCGCGGCGCCGCTTTATTAAATTCTTCGCGAGTCCACCGATCTCGCCTGCACCCGCGACGTCCCCTCTCTCCCTCTCGCGTCCGTTAACTAGAACGGAAGCGAGGGAGAGGGAGGATTTTGCGTGGAAATGGGGGATATCCAGGGATAACGAATTGCGACGATTGTTGCAGGTACAAGGACAACAGGGCCTACCCTTGGCCGGGTGGCGAGAGCCACTTCATCCTGTACCCGGAGAGCGCGAACCAGACGATTTACGCGCAAAAGGTGAGAGCCTCCGACGCTGGCCGATATTCGTGTCGGGCGAGGAACGACACCACCTTCCTCGAAGGAGACATCACGCTCGCAGTTCTCGGTTAGTATCTTCCAATTCCTCCCTTTCCCATTATCGGACCTCTGCCTCGGTTATTTACGATTCCCGAGATTCCAGGCCTAGAGCGCGTCTCTCTCTCTCTCTCTCTCTCTCTCTCTATGCTCGAAATTACGAGAAGAGACGCAGGTGAGAACGGTCTCGCTTCGGTCTCTCGTTAGGAACATCTGTCTCCGTCGCGACGCGACAACCTCGTTTCCTCGCAATTTCCATCGGCTTCCGGTACACGGAGTCCATCCGACAGCCGGGCATTATTCTTGGTCGCGTAGCCGCGAGCGGAACGACGAGCTTGTTCGGCTGCGACAGCAAGAAAGCAGCGATCTCTCTGCGCGTAAAGAGGAGTCGAATGGAAACGAAGAAAGGCGTCGCGACGGCCGATCGCGTCTCGGCTTATCCGCGTATTTACAGCGACGTAACCCGGCAGGGGGGGGGGGGACGCGATACCTTATCGGGCACTGGCGCGTACCCCGGAATGCATGCATATGCATGCCCATGAACCGCGGATTATCCGTGGACTCGCGCGACTCGGATGATAAGCCGCGAGAGTCGTGGCGGGGGAGCGGGAAAGATGCGGGAAGGATCTCTCGGCGGATGGGGCCCCACGGGGAGCACAGCCGGGGTTACCTCGTTACTCGCGCTCGGTCGCGATATCGACCTGTGGGACCGCATGGACTTTGGAGCGCATCGATTTCTCTCTCGCGAAGCCGTGACGAAACAAACGACGGAGTGGGCCGGCGGCGAGGGTGGAGGCGGCGCAGCAGAAGCGGAGGTATTTGAATAAAGCTACCCACGCGCGATTCCGAGAAGCCCTTTTAAAGCCGTGAAAGGAATCGTGCGCCCTTTCTTCGCCACGGTAACCGGAATTCTTGGAAGTCTCTCTCTCGAACAGAGTGCGCTCGGTGGCCTGCCCCCGGTGTGTATCGCGAGTCTCGTCTACCTTGCTCTCGAGATCGCTGGTATATATACGCTCTGCTCGGGAAATTCGGCGAAAATCGCGAACCGAGTTGGCGCCCGCTGCACGATTGATCGAGGAGCTTGCCACGCACCGCTGCCGAGGGCTTCCTCGGTTTAACGGGCCGTGGATCAGCCACGGTACGGTGCGCGGGAGGACCGCGTATAAATCGTCCAAGGGGACGAAGGAACGAGCAAACTTGCCGACGATAAAACTGTCGTCGCGTCTCTCTACTCGTATTTTCCGCGATTTCGCGAGAACGTACCCGGCGACTGCGAATCGCGGCGTTGCTCGGGTACGCGTCGCGATGCGCGAGGCATACGTGCACGCAGGAGACGCACCCTCGGATGGGAGGCGGTGCGCGACGTGTCAAGGAACAGACTGGTATTTCCTCTCCGAAGCCATCCAGAGACCGTGTGCGCGTGTGTGCAGTAGTTTCGTCTCGCGTAGAATCGCGCGCGCGGTCGTGAATACGCGCCGAGTTCCTCTCGATCGCGAGCGCCAACAGCGCGCGACCGGCGTTAATTTCGACGGCTGTCTCCCGAGAGACACGGCGACAGGGGGAGAGAGGGATGAAGAGAGAGAGAGAGAGAGAAAGGGGTCGACCCGGTTTCCCTGTATCGAACACGCGCGTCGGACAGGGAACGAAAGACGTCTGCGGATGACGCGAGAATCGGTCGCGTAACACGTACGCGCGAGGCGTGTGCACACCGCGATATGTGACGCTGGCGACCCGGGTCCTCGACCCGTCGTCCCGGATATTACGCGCGCACGTATAGAGACGCGATATCGTCCGAAATCGGGCGAATAGTCGCGCGGGGTGGTGGAGGTGGTGGAAAACGGGGGAAAATATGGCGCGTCGCATCGCGTTGGAAGGACCAAGATCGATGGCGGTAAGCCGATGCTGGTTTCGAGTAATCGGTTCCGTACTCGCTCGGCCGTGTTTACGAAGCCGAGCCGTGTCGGTGGACGCGGCGTTTGCGAAGGAGGAAGCTGACGAGGAGCGAGATAGTCGGGGACCGGTTAAAGTGGTCCTGTCGGAGGAGAACGAGCCATCCCTGGGCACGGATGACGGTTCAACGAAGCTCTGGTGGCGGTCTCACTGGTGGACGGCTTTGTCCGCGCGTTCGGTCAGAGAAGTTGGACCGTGCGCGCGTGGATAATTTGCGGGATCCCGCGAGGGAAATGAAATTTCGTAATTATTCCCGGGAACGCGGCCGGTGACGGTGTTTAGCGTCGACGGGGGGCGGCTAGGGACGGGAAATGGATCGCGAGGGAAATGAAAATCACTTTAATAACGCCACTTTCGTCTAACCGTAATTCACCCGTTACCTACGCTTCGCGTTTTCCCCGAGATGTACGCGCGGTCCTGCTTACAGCGAGGGCGCGATACACGTGTCGGGATTATCGTCGCGGTTTCGTCGACGCTGTCGATGCATCCCGAGCAAAGCTCGTTTCCTCCGACTCCTGTACCCGGCGAAACGTTTCGGTTACTCGTCCTCCTCCCCGTTATTTCCTTCCGAATAATTTGCCACAATTTTCACCGTCTCTGCTCTCCGTACCTCGAATACGTATCCGATCGATTTCGAATCGCCTGTGTCGCGAAAACGCGAGAAAACCTAGCAATGAATCGCGATCCTCGTCGGAGATACAAAGGTTTCTCGAAAAGCATGGAAGGTCGTCGGTATATACGACGGCCATGTCGAGGTCTTACGTCACCTGGACGTATCGAGAATAGCTGCTGCCGTTGCTTCGAGACCGCGCTCCGTCTCGTTAACTCCGATACACTCCCCGTTGATATCGGGTTTTGCGAGGCTTTAACGAGAGCGCGTAACCGAGCGAACGTGGGAAATTTAATTTTCCGTTCGCCTATTATCGTCCGAGTACCCCGTTAGATAAATAAAGGAAATAAGAGACGTCTGGAGTCGGGTGCGAAACTCGTTGTAAGGGATCGTTGGTGTGTGCTTTGCAGGGGAAAAGTCCGGCGGATACACGGGCAAACCGCTGCCGACGTACAGGCCAGCCTCGCAGTTGGTACCCCTGGGAGGAGCGGCGAGGTTGTTCTGCGAGGCGTACCTGGGCAAGGTGGACCTGCCCGACGCGAAAAATTCGGTGACCTGGTCCAAGAGCGACAGCAACCTCACGCTACCAAGCCACGGCAGGATCGCGCAGCACAGAGTGTCCAGGTGAGTCCAGAGTCCAGCGTTGCACGCTATTTTCTTTAACCCTATCTCGTCGACGAGTATACGCGTTGGTCGCGAAGGCAAGGAAGTAGGACGCGTGGAAAGACAAGTTTTGTGGAGGAATCGGAGACCGGGTGGAACGGAAACGACGCTGCGGCATCCGCTGGTTTCCGCGGACGCAAATGGCGTCTCCCGTGGCCCGTATATCTCACCGGCGAATTTCGAAATCGGGTTGCAAACTTGTCCTCCAATTAGCGACCGCGTGCCACGCCGCGGTGTAATGCCCGCAGCTGGCCGGGATGCGGCGAAACTAACAACGACCCTTCCGCCTGTCCCCGCTGTGCAACCCTCCTCCTCTGTTCCCTTTGCCGCGAATAGTGGCCATACATACGTTCGATGGTGTATACGCATACCGGCTATCGTCGCGACGTTCCGACGGACCGGTGGACGACGACGACGAAGAAGACGAAGAAGACGAAGAAGACGAGGACGAGAAGGAGAGCGTTCCGACGCGGAATCGCAGAGGGACGTGAAAGGGACGGTGGTGGAGAGAGGAGCGTGGTCGCGGTCGCGGGGCCCCGGCGATTAGCCTTTTTGCGACGGGCCTCTCGGGGCATTATAGACGTAATAACGCCGGGACAAACTCGGAGGAGTGTTGGAGCCGGGCTCGACGACCGGCGGACAACGAGGACGAAATCCGTTCTTGAAAGAGGGAGAAGGAGAGGAGGAACCGGTGGAGGCAAGAAATTCCGAGGAATCCTCGCTGCCCCTCCGCGTCCGAGCTCTCCGTCATTACGTTAATGATAGCCTGGTCTGTTACCTCGCTGAATCGGCCCCTTTTTCGCGTGTCCCCCTCGCTGTGCTAATGCCGATTCCTCTCTCCGATCTCTCTCTCTCTCTCTCGAAACTCGACCACCGCGCGCCGAGTGGAAACGGAAAAACGTCGGCGCTGGTAATTGTCCGCGTCTGTCCGGGGAACTGTTGTTCGCCCTCGAGTTCTCGCGAGAGAGGCGTATCCGGCGAGCACACACGGATCGCCGTGAAACCGGTCGAGCGCGACTCGAATCGCTTCGTCGGAACGGAACGGAGCGTTGTGGCGCGCTGCGAAGCGGAAATGGAAGGGCGGCGAGGGAGAAGAGAACCGCGCCGCGCGTCCATCGTCGATTCGGTGCACGCGATAGATCGATCGAGGCCCTCGCCGCGTGATGGGCTTCCGTCCGCTGCCAATCTCGGGCCCCGCGTGGTGCTCCCTTCGCGGTCCAAGAGGAAAAATCGGCAAACGCTCGCTCTCCCTCTCACTCTCTCTGTCTCTCTCGCGGCGCGCTGGTTAGCCGGTTCTCTCAACCTCCGATCCCTTTCGCTCCGCTGCTTCTTTTGTCTCTCGTTTCGTCGTCGAGAGCACTCTCGATCATCGTGGCGAGATAGCGAGGTACGCCGGCCATGGGTGGTCCATCGGGCTTCTCATATTCTAAGCGTCGCGCCGCTCGGTCAGGATTAAACGGGATACCCGAAGCTACTCGCGATCTCTCTCTCTCTCTCTCTACCTTCTCCGGCTTCCAATTTATATTCCATTCGGTTTTAATCGAGCTTCCATTATGCACCGGTGGCCGGAGTAAACGCGCGCGCGGGGTCGTGCCTCTGGTAGGTAGGTAGGTAGGTAGGTAGGTAGAGGTGTAGGTAGGTGGTGGTAGGTCCGAGGCTGGACGCGCGCGGTTCGGTGGAATCAGGAAAAGCACGCGGGGCGGTAGTTTTGGAGGAATGGCGGCCGCGGCGGAGGATATCGAGCGCGCGGGTGTACGCGATGGGAATTTCGGAGACGCGAACGTCGGGCGGTAGAGCGGCGGGGGTGTTGATCGTGGAGTGGATTTCTCTCGTGACGCATTAACCGGGGGAAAGCAGCGGTGATCGATGGACCGAGTTAACGGGTGTAACGAACAGATTCTGTCCGATCGAGGGACGATTCGGCCTCGTAAATCTTAAGCGACCGGTTTACTCGGCCCGGACTAATAGAGACGAATTACGCGCGGTCTCGTGGGCCGGGCGCGCCGCCGATGCGGATCTATCAACGTTGATTGCATTCGAATGCAAATTCGCGAGCTGCGAGCGGGGGCCGCCGCTGCCGCCTCCTGCTAGCGCTAATTCATCGCCGACCCGCGGTACTTTCGCCCGTTTCCATCGGACCACGCCGCCATCATCCGCGCACCGCCGTCGTAATTGTCCTGGACGGCGAGGAGAAAGCTCGGCGAGCTCTCTCGTTTCGGCGCCGTTGCACCAATTATCGGGTCGAAATAGAAAACGAGGGACAAGCGGTACTTTCGCGACCATCGGGGCGAAATTATCGACCAAACGAGTTCCTCCGCGATTCGCCTGCCTGCGAGGCTGGGGGGGGGGGGGGGGGGGGGGGGGGGGGGGGTGCCGGTAACCGGGCGAATTTTCGTCGGAGAAGAGGAGGAGAAAGGGGCGAAGCAAAAGAGGAGGCTCGGACGGAAGAATCGAGCGAGGTATCGGGAAGAATCGAGTCGGGAAAACGGATAGGCGGGAGAGGAGGAATGGGAACGAATAGGAAAAAGGAAAAAAGCAGTGGAGTGGATTCAAACGAGCCAGGGGGAAATAGGATGGAAAGGCGACAAAAAATAAAAGAAAAGGGAAAAATGGAGGAAAAAAGGAGATGAGAAAAGGGGAAAAAAGGACGGGACAAAGAACGCTGAAATATTGAAAAGTGCCGAGGAGGAACAAAAGCGAAAGAAAAATCACGGATCGACGACGGGGGCGGTCGGGGGTGATCGGGGGTGGAGGCGGATCGGAGAAAAGGGAGGAAAAAGAAGAAAGAAGGAGGAAAAAGGAGGAGGGTAAGAGAGACGAGGCGTGGAAAAAAGTGACAGGGGTAAAAAAAGCAATGTTCGATGAAGCCGAATGGCCGTGGCGTGCGGCGCGACGCGTCGTGGAAGCGTCGTGGAAGCGTCGTGGCAGCGTCGTCGAAGCTGCGGGATAGAGTGGATGAATGCGACGCGATTACCGTGGGGAGAGGGGTCGGGGACCCACTTTGCTAGGACGCATTAATCGCAACGTCGTTGCCGGGAAACGTAGAAAACGGTGCGGAACGGGGCGCCGAGCATCCGGAGAAGGGCGGAGAAGCGACGAGGTCGACGGAAACACCGGAACAAAGGACGGAAACGTACCGCTGCTTCCCGACGATGTTTCCTCGCAGCCGGTGAATTTTACTCGCGTCGGCTACGACCCGGGAAACAAAGAGGTTCAATTTTCTCGTCACGGAGTTCAACGCGTCTACGACTACGACGACTGCGACGACAACGACGACGACGACGACAACGGTCGGGTTTTAAGGAGTACCGCTGCGACGTCGCGTTCCGCGATGGATGGTCGCGAGTATCTCTGCCTCCGGGACGAGGGAAATTTTCCGCGGAGCCAGAGGGGGAGGAAGCAACGGCGTCGCGACGGTGAAAAACAGTCGGGGCGCGACCGGTTAAATTTCCCGCGTAATCCGTTTAATTCCCCTCGACTCGGCGAATTAATCGGCGCGCTAGCACCGGAATTAATATTAATGGCCCCGTAATAACGGGTCCGTAACTTAATTCCGAGTCGTTCCGCTCGAATAATACTTTTTCCCCAGGGGAGAAGCAGCGAGAGACCCGCGGAGAGAGGGGGGCCAACTTTGCCGATCGATGGATGCTCCTGGATGGATCTCTCTCGGCCTCGTCGACCCACGCGCTCTCCGCGACCGGTCCGACCGTTTTTTCCTCCCGTTCGAGTTATCTCCGATGGTGGACAGAGTGGCGAACCATTCGAACGGGGTGTCCTTGGGGGGAGGGGTGGAGGACGGGTTAGGTGCGGAGGACTGCGGAGGACGATGACGGAAACGGGGGCGGAGGAGGAAGACAGAGAGACAAAGAACGATCCTCGGCCGTTTCCGCGACGATATCTGTACCGTGACCGGAGACAAAGACCTCCGCGCGGCGGAAGGGTACGGGACGGGGAAAATCGAACACGGTCTCGGGAGGAAATTAAACGAAACCGCGGTGGAATGGAACGATCGACGCGGAACGCGGGGCAGCGTGTCTCGCGAGGCGACGACAAGGATTGCCCACGGAGCGGAGGAGAATTTCGCGAAACGTCGCGATAGCGTCCCGTGACAAACCGGTTAATTAACATTTGACCGGTTCGCTGATTCGATTGCAGGATCAAGGAGGGGAGGGCGAGCGAGCCGAGACACGGAATGGCCCGCGTGCAATTTACTCGATTAAATTAGCGTATTATCGGTCGTTTCCATCGATTCCGCCGCGCGGTCGGATTTCCGCCGTGAAGCGTATATTCGCGATCCGAAGGGTCGTTCGGCTCTCTATCTCCCTCTCCCGCCCCCTCTCTCTCTCTCTCTCTCTCCGAATTTCCTCTTTTCCACCGATTTTTTCCGTCCGCCTTTCCGTTCGTCAGCCTTATCGCGAGGGCACGGAATGGCCGCGGAACGAAACGAAAGGAAGAGAAACGAGGCGAAATAGCGAGCGACGGACACTTAATCCTGTCGGACCCGTGCCTACGCACGCGAAACTGTCTCTCCTCGACGGAAACTTAATCCCCGGCCTGATTCAGCCGGCTGGAATTTGACAGACGAGTGCCGTCAGTCAGGGACTGTCATCGCGGATTACAACGCGCCGTTTAATTATCCCGACCCGAGCGGAGCCGAGCCGAGACGAGCCGAACCGATTCCGCAGGCTAGGCGAAGCGGAGCGAAACGAGGAAGTCGCGTCGCGTTTCGTCGCTTCGCCAGCTCGATCGCGGAGAAAGATGGAGCCCCCGAGTCTACCGAGGGACAGAGAGACAGAGAGACGATACCAGGCTGTGCAGGTGGATTCCGCCCTAATAGGTAGTTGTCGTCGGGAAGTTGCGAGCGAAGGCGTCGCTACGCTGTCACTCGCAGCGACTCTGGTTCTCGCGACGCTAGACGACGCGAGGCGCCATCGCCGCGGCAGACCCCTCTTCCGCTCGGATTAATCGTGGTCCGCTGGCGCGTGGAAAAATTCGGAATCGCGTGGCCACGCGAGTGCCAGGGAAGCGGAAGCGGTTGGACGCGCGCCAAGGAAGGAACGGCCGACCATCGCCGCTTCCTCGGTCCACGGGGGTGAAATCGCTCTCGCGAGCGCGCTCTATCGATTCTCCTTTTTCGCCCAACTTTCCGCAACCCCCGTCGGATCGCTTCCGCGGATCGCCGTCCGATATTTGCAATTCCGTCCGGTATTGTTGGAGAGATTAAAACGGCCGTGGGACGTGACATCCTCGCGTTGCCGGGAATCCCGCGAGCTGCGCGTTTTCCGATTGGAAAAACCCCATCGATCGGGGCGCACGCGGGCCAGATAGCCCTGTTCCCGGGAAGGAGCGATGGGATCGAGGCCGAAGAATGACGGAGGTTTAATTAAAACTCGATAAACGCGTTGTTTTCCAGGATAGACTCTGCCCGTGCGACGATGAATACCGAGTTCATCGGTTTCCCTTAATTAAACAGGATTGACCGCGCGATGATACGAGCAGCGATATCGGTCGCGGGGGCGGTAGGGCAGAGAGGGGGGCGACGGGAGTGGAATCATTAGATTCATCGATTTCCCGTCACCTTTTACGAGATTAAAATCTATTCGCGTGCGGGCGAGATCGCGTAACGCGCGTTTCCCCGAACGGTCTATAAATTCCGAGCCGGCGAGTCGATTTAAACTATTTCGATCGACGAGATACTTCGAACCCTCGCTATTCCGTTCCGCGAACTCCGTTGCAGGCCGGCCATCGATCTTCCTTCAAACTCGTTGGGCGCGGTTTGCGAACGCGACTCCGCCGGCCCTGGGACACCTGTTCGCGGATCTCCGTCGTTCGCGCACGAGTACGCCAAGGTGCCGTAGAATTTTTCGATCTTTGGAGAAGACGCGAAATCTCGTACCTGGTCACGCTCTATCTTTCGCGTAGATTAGCATTAGCTCTGCCGCGTGCTCACGCAGCGGCGTAATCCGATGCTGGCGACGTTTCACGCAATTTCCTATCGCTGACACTTCCCTTTTGCGCGTCTCAATTCCTACGGAATCCCTCGATTACTTGAAAAAGAAGGGAAAAAGAATCCTCGAATTTCCCGAGAAGCGACGAAAATCTCGCCCCGAGTGCAGAGGGTTCGCGCGTTCTTATTTCTCCGTCTTCTCGATCCGCGAGTCTCTCAGCTCGCGATGGACTTATCGGTGCGTGCTAATTTAATTCCAACTCGAGGGCGAAAATCGCCGAGGTTCCGACTGCCGGTGTTATATATACGTACGAATCGAACGAGACGCGAGGGGGCAAGAGGCGGAGGGATTAAATTTGCTTTTGTAATTCGCAGCGAAGCGTGCCGTAATGAGCGGCGTTTCCCGATTGTTTCGGATTTTGGCGGGCGACTTTTAATTAAAAGTTGCCGAATCGAAGGGGCGAGCGGGGCAGGCGGATAGCGTCGGATGTCGACGACTAGTTGGTCGATTTAAAATTCGCGTTGCGCGCTGATCGCGCGTCGACTTTCATCCGCGTAGCGGAAAGAGGCTGAATCGCGGACGAATCACCGCTTCCGGGCAGAGCGGGTATTCCCGCGAGCGCAGGGACGGGGAGGAGAATTCGGACGCGCGTCGAGTTTCCGAGCGGAATTGGTTCGGCGCAACGGAAGCGGCCGCGAGATTGAATTTTCCGGCGAGCCTCCGCTTTCCTCGCGCGCGGAAAAATTTTCCTTCCCCCCGGTCGGATTAGTCGGGGATTAACCTCGAGCGACGCGATAACGCGCGGCGCTCGCGAGAAAAAAGGGCCACGATGGGACTGGCCGATTAGCCGGGCGCGGCCGCGATAGCGAGACAGCTGACGGCTCTATAAGCTTAATAAGCTCCGGCCTGGAGAGAAACTCTCGTGGGATCGGAGCGTAGCGACCATCGTCCGATAGGCGTCTTCCAGCTTGGTGAAGGTACGAGGACTTTCTCGCGGGAGGAAGGTCTCTCTTGCCTTCCTTCCAATGGTATCCTCGTCTGAGGCAGGGCCTGTAGGGGTAGTCTTACCGACGAGTCCACCAGTTCGTCCCTTCCAGCTAAACACCGCCACGCCAAGGATTCCCGCGACCATCTCGACTTGGACAATCGCGGGGGAGGAAATCGGGCGACGATTGTTTCTCTGCTCGGCGAGAAATTGCGGAGAAATCGCGAGGTGGCGATATTTATTGGCGGAAGGTACGCGCGGCGTTTACGAGCGCGCGCGGATTCTCGAACGACGCTCGTTTCGTTTCTCCGTTCGGAACGCGCGCGACGCTGTTTACGAGCAGCAGCCACCCGCTCCGCGTTCCCTCCCAACGCTTTCCATTCTCCTTTTTCTCCACTCGCGCTTTAACCGTTTGTTTCCGAATGGTCTGCTTTCAGGGAGAACAATCAGATCGTCGGCTCTTACCTGGAGATCGAGGACATAACGCTGGAGGATTACGGCGAGTACAAGTGCGAGGTTAGCAACGGCGTGGACGAGGAGATCACGTTACCCGCTCACGTTTATCGGCAAGGTAACAACCGAAGGAAGAAGCTTGGATCGCGTTCGCGGGGACTCTCGGTCGCGTGGAAAAGGGAGAAAATTCGACGAAGGAGGCTAATCAGCCACCCGATCCGTGGCTTAAACGAGTACCTCGAACGCGATTCGTCGTTCGTTGCAATTCCGACGAAAAATTTCCACGAAAATTTCGCTCTCTTGCTCCTTTTCTCGCCCCTTTTATCTCTTCCTTCCACCGCGATAGGGTTCCTACCGTGTTTGCGAGAAATTAAAGGAACGGTTTGCCTTTGCAGAGCCGCAGTTCGCTTTGGGACTGCAAAACGGATCCTGGAGGAGGTCGTTCCTGGTCGGCGTCCTGGTGCTGGTCCTGCTCATCTCGGCCGGCGCGTTCTACGCCCGCTGCTGGCTGCCTCTGGCGCTCCTCTGTCGCGACAAATTCGCTCCTCTCGAGGAAAACGGTAATTACCCCCTTTCGTTGCTCCCTTTCAGCGATCGTCCAATCACCACACCCAAATGCACGGTCTTTCCGCTTTCTCGGAATCGACTTTCGCCATTCGGAGGTATCGTTGCTCCGCGAATATCAGCGAGCCAACTGTTCCGGATGCAACGGAACGGGGGATGGATTTCAGGTGTCGCGTGGAGTACGAAATTACCGGGCTTATCGTTATTCCGCGGACGCGGCGAGGATCGTATTTCGTCGGTTGCCGATACGAGCAGGTCGTCGATGCTCGCGCGTAAAATCATTCCGAGTTTGTTCTCGAGATCCTCGCAATTTCCACCCCCTTCCTCCCGTTTTCCCCCAAACGGGGTTTTCCTCCGTTCTCGCGAAACCGACGCGGCGCGTCTCGGAGCTCGAGAATAACACCCGCTCGACTCGGCCGAAATTAACATATTCGATTCCCATTTCGCGCGAGTTTTACGTGACCCGTGATCCTTTAACCTCTTCGCGATGGGCTACGCTCCTGTCCCGTGTCTTTCGTGGATAAATCGCGCGCGAGAGGGGATAATCGTTTCGGGAGTAGCCTTTCGCGACTATCGTCGCCTTCCCGTCGAATCTGAGCCATGCCGATAACGCGGAACACGCGTGCTAGCTACCGATAAACCGCGGCGGGCTTGGAATTACGGCTTATCTCGCAGGGTTCCATCGGTCGCGGGTTATCCGGAGGAGGGAAGCGGTGGGATCGGGAGGACGATGGTCCAGCGGTGGTTGGGCTTGGGTCGGCCGGAAAAGGAGGAAAACGGTAGGGGGGGGGGGATGGTGGGTACACGCGGAGGCGATAAATCGCGGCCGCGCGCCTCGGGCTGCGCGACGAGGTGGTACACGTGTAAGTCGGAGCCTGTTACGGAAGGAGATATGCCGTCTCGGACGAGATCTGGTCGATAGGGTAGCCGACGATCGAGTAGCCCCTACCCTAATACGGAAGCTGGAAAATTACCGCGATTACGAGGCTTCTGGGAAGCGGCGCGCCGCGACGCCGTGCATTAACGTTTCGCGACCGCGCGCGTAAGAGAGAGAGAGAGAGAGAGAGAAAGAGAGGGAGCCGCGATGGCTGTCGAATAACGATCCAGCGTTGACCGACGTTTGACGACTAGCGCGCGATAATCAAAGTTGCCGGAATGCCGGATCGATCCGATTTCTCTGCCTCCCCTTTGTCCCCGGGTTTGATTTTCGAGTCTCTTTGCCGGGAGTCGCTTCGATTCCAGCGAACTGGAAAGAGCGCGGAACGAAGAGCAAATAGGTCGCGTAGGTCACTCTCTCTCTCTCTCTGTCTGTCTTTCCGCTTTATTATGCGGTTCCTCCCGCCGAGGGGACCAAGATCGGCGAGATTTCGCGGATAATCGGAATTCTGGGGTAATCCCGACTTTGGCGAGACACCGAGGTATCGGCTCGCGGAGGATCGGTGGCTTTCACCCGCGATCGCGATTCCGAGCCGAGCGGAATTCGTCGCGGCGTTTCGAAAGGCTCGGCGTGTCGATCCATTCGAGCGGAGAAATCGAAGGCGAGGCCTCGGAAGCCGAGTTTATTCGTCGTTCGAGCCGCTCCTCCTTCGAAGCTTCTCTCCGTCGTCCATTTCCGTCGCGGACGTTGCGCGATCGGTCGGTTTCCGAGTAAGCAGCTACGCGGAGAAGAAAGCGGAGAGATCGGTGGTCCGATCGGAAAGAGGCGGGATTCCGCTGGCGAGTCACCTTCCCGGCGAGTGTGTGGCAGCTGGGAAGGAAGCGACACGTACTCTAACCATGGTCACGAACGCTGCTTGCAGACGGCAAGGAATGCGACGCTCTGGTGTGCTACCACGAGAAGGACTCGAGCCTGGTGATCGGTATAGTGATACCCACGCTGGAGTCCAGGCATCGATACAAGTGCACGGCGTTGGAGCTGTCCCAGCTGAATCAGAACTGTAAGTCTCGGGTTTAATTAAACGCGCGAGTGTTGCGCTCGTTCGCGACCTCGGCGTCGGTGGCGTCGATGGCGTCGGTGACGTCGGTCCGACGAAAGGACGCCGGCGATCGCGAGCACCGGCTCCCTCGCGACGCCGCCCAGAGATCCGACGACCACCACGACGACGACTGCTGGAAACGGGAGAGGGAGAGAGAGAGAGAAAGAGTAGCATCGTCGCCAGGGAATTCGCCTCTTTGCCGGAAACTTCGAATCTGCCTCTCTCCCTCGGGAATCCAGCTCTCTCTCTCTGTGTGTCTCTCTGCTCGGTGTTCCTGGCGCTGCCAACGAGTCTCTCCGATCCTCCGACACGCTCGAGGATCGAAGAAAGTTTACGCGATGACGTCGGTCATTCCGATTGGCCGCGTCTCATGAATACGAACGGGGCTAGGCGCGCAGTCGGGGTGATAACGACGGGGAAAAATATTCAGACGCTAATTTCCTTCTAATTGGCAGGACGAAATTGAGCCGTGTTGCAGCGGCCGAGCGGAGCCGCGATTTTATTCATGCAAATTGCGCCACGCTGCCGGCCCCGATCCACACCCGATGCAAACTACAGCCTATACATAAATTTCGTTCCGCGATCCTCCCCCTCTCGCCCCCGCTTCCTCTCTTCCGTTCTCGGCCCTCCAGTAGTCCCTGGAATAATTCGGAAAATCTCCGCGGCCCTCTGCGGCCCTCTGCGGCCGTTTGCGGGCCGCGATGCAGCGGCGTATAACCGGAAGGCAAAGGGAGGCAGGTTGGAAGGAGTATCCTCGGGGATCGCGGAATCACGGCGCGGAACATGGAAGTTGGCAAATTGAATTAGGAAGTTGGCCAGCTTCTCCGTCGTTTGTCTCGCGAATTCGAGCCGCGGTTTCGAGTTAGGCGTGTTACGGCCTTTCCGTTCCACCGACTTCCGATCGCGTCCCGGAAACCGCGCCTCTCTCCTCCGGCATTTTCCCCGTTTCGGCATCCGATTAATTCCCCATTTTTCCGCGGTTCGAGAGCGGTTTACTCGCCACGGTATCGGATTTTCTCGCAAAACTGACGCTCGATCGCGAATAACCTCCGATAGACGTCGTATAATCGGTCGCCTAGTCGCAACCTCGGCCCTTTGTGCTCGGCAAACGAATAGTAGTCCACCCTCTGCTACTCGGGGGTGCATTCGCCGCGGAGAAATGGCTCGGAAATTTTCCGTCCCTGATAACATCCACGGGAATCGCGTCTAAATTAACCTTTCGCTCGGATATTTTACGTACCGTTGCGTTATTTCGCGTTTCCTGCCGGGTATTCGCGTTTGTTCCGAAATTCTAATTTAATTTGTCACGGTTTAAGTAACGCGTGGAAATCGGAGAAACGCAAGACGCGTTTATTATACGTTTTATTCCTTGTTTCCCTTTCCGCGAGCAGCTGATTACTCGTTCTCCTGTGTTCCGAGTCTTCTCGTACGGTGTGTTATGGCAACACGCGTGGTCATTCGGACTTCGAGCGTCAGTTTGATCGCGCACGCACAGGCGCGAACTGTTTACGGTACAGGGAGAAAAATTCCAAGCTTCTTTGTCGTAAATTTATTGTCTTTTAAAGTCCTTGTATAGTACTTACGCGAGTGAATTCTTCTCCACGCGCGATTTCGTATGACTTAAAAAGATACGCGACATACCATTTGGAAAATTAACTCTTTTCGATGATTTTTTTGGCCAGAGAAGAACAGAAATTCGATGATTCGCATTTGACAAAAAGGCTTACAAGGGGAGTGCAAGTTCTTCGAGTCACCGATTTAGTTGAAACTTTGCAGGTTTGTAGATATAGTCATGCAGTTTAAGAAAATATATCATTATAGCCGTAAATACTCGATAGCTTTCGAGATATTTACGATTAAAGTTTTATTATTTCTTTAATTATAAATTTATTTCCAGTAGTTTTCGAGTGGAGTGGTGGTGTAACGGTGACAGTTAAGAGTTCCTATGTTGTAGGACCCGGGTTCGATTCTCGCCTATAGTTGGTAGTTTTTTTTCAATCTATTTTTTTATTTTGTATTCATTTTTTGCCTATGAAAACATTGTAAATAAACAATTGAAAATAAAATTTGTTAATCAAAAAATTTATTTTTTACGCTTACTTATGTTAGTATATATTTACTGCGAAATAATAAGAATACTATACAAGAAAAACAGTTTTCTATAGCAATCTTATTTACTACAGGAAGATAACAAAAATACAAGTAATCATTAGATACAGGAAATACAAATGTAAGTATTACATAAACTGATATAAGTATTAATTATTAAATTAAACATTGCATAAGAGTGTTAATTATAATTTTAAGTTTGCTGTACAGCTATAAATGTTCATGAATTGATTACAAAATCTTGGAAATTTATTAATTTTCTACTGCCGTATTGATTTATTAAGATTTTAAATTCTTTTAATATTACAAATTTTTACCGCTTGCGATCAGCGCCATCTATGATTTGGGCTCAAAAATCAGAAAAGTAATAGGAATATAGAATAGGCAAGGAGGTCGTCGAAGAGCTGGTCACGTGGTAGACAAGGACAGAGAGGGGATAGAAAAGGACAGAATGGCTCCGGCGGTGAAAAATTGTTAATTACTCTCTTTCCGTAAACAATTTGTGAACTTTTATAATTTCATTGCAAAGCTGGAACTTCAAGCAACATTCTTATATAATATTCGTAAAGAATGTAACTCTAAATTGTTAGTTATTAATTTTTGTTTGATGGCGTCTATGATTTCATAACGGCGACAATTTCGATCTTCCGTGAAAATAATTTAATACTGAACGAAATTAGTGGAACTCGAACTTCGACTCTCTAATCATAGACGGCTCTGATGTCAGTTTACTAACTCTGGTATGTGCTCCTTACATATTTTAATAAATCAAATCGGTAGTGGAAAATTCACTAATTACTCAATTTCTGCGATTAATTTATGAACTTTTATAATTCCATCGTAAAGCCAGATCCTTTAAGAACTTTCCAATATATTTTTCGACATAAATTTGTCCCTAACTAATTAATTATTAATAATTATTCTACGAAATGTTTGAATTATTGTCGAAAATTATCAAAGACGCCATTGGTTTTTCATTAATTACTATCCTTTACGCAATTAATTTATGAAACTTTATACACTCATTAGAAAGACATTGTTTTTTGGAATCTTCTCATATAACTTTCAATCACATTTTGCTTCTAATTTCGTTCAGTATTAAATTATTTTCACGGAAGATCGAAATTGTCGCCGTTATGAAATCATAGACGCCATCAAACAAAAATTAATAACTAACAATTTAGAGTTACATTCTTTACGAATATTATATAAGAATGTTGCTTGAAGTTCCAGCTTTGCAATGAAATTATAAAAGTTCACAAATTGTTTACGGAAAGAGAGTAATTAACAATTTTTCACCGCCGGAGCCATTCTGTCCTTTTCTATCCCCTCTCTGTCCTTGTCTACCACGTGACCAGCTCTTCGACGACCTCCTTGCCTATTCTATATTCCTATTACTTTTCTGATTTTTGAGCCCAAATCATAGATGGCGCTGATCGCAAGCGGTAAAAATTTGTAATATTAAAAGAATTTAAAATCTTAATAAATCAATACGGCAGTAGAAAATTAATAAATTTCCAAGATTTTGTAATCAATTCATGAACATTTATAGCTGTACAGCAAACTTAAAATTATAATTAACACTCTTATGCAATGTTTAATTTAATAATTAATACTTATATCAGTTTATGTAATACTTACATTTGTATTTCCTGTATCTAATGATTACTTGTATTTTTGTTATCTTCCTGTAGTAAATAAGATTGCTATAGAAAACTGTTTTTCTTGTATAGTATTCTTATTATTTCGCAGTAAATATATACTAACATAAGTAAGCGTAAAAAATAAATTTTTTGATTAACAAATTTTATTTTCAATTGTTTATTTACAATGTTTTCATAGGCAAAAAATGAATACAAAATAAAAAAAATAGATTGAAAAAAAACTACCAACTATAGGCGAGAATCGAACCCGGGTCCTACAACATAGGAACTCTTAACTGTCGCCGTTACGCCACCACTCCACTCGAAAACTACTGGAAATAAATTTATAATTAAAGAAATAATAAAACGTTAATCGTAAATATCTCGAAAGTTATCGAGTATTTACGGCTATAATGATATATTTTCTTAAACTGCATGACTATATCTACAAACCTGCACAATTTTAACTAAATCGGTGACCCGAAGGACTTGCACCCTCTTTGTTAAAATATCCCAGAATGAGACGGTTGTCTGAGAAATATGAAAGAGTGAACATGTAAATGTAATCGTTATTAAGAGTGAATGGGAGAGAAGGAACTTCTGGAAGGAGAGTACCAAGTTATCGCGTCGAAGAGTTTATTATTTAAATATTTTAACTTAAATATATTTTGTGCGTTACTCGTTAAAAAGGTCTTAGATGTTATTATTCATTCTACTCACAAATTCTTCAAGGCTTTTCGAGCTTAAGGATAAATTTTTACATTATACTTACCTTACAACAATTACCTTGTTAATCTTAATATACATATTACTTCAACAGATATTGCCCACTGTCTATTATCAAAATTCAAAGGGAACTTTGAAAATTTACAAATGATAGGAAATATCAATACAAAAATATCAATACAACTTTGTGCGTGGCTCTTAGCTTGGTATCGTTGGCCAAAGATTTATTATATTGAATTTCACAGTCTAGCCGTAAAATTTTCGGCCGATTTTGCTAATTTTGTATCAGGATAACATAACTTGAAAGGAGGTCGTTCTTTGGACAATACTTTTACAGTCTCGGTGGACAATACTTTTGCAACTTCTGTGGACAATACTTCTGCTGCGTCGAGGAAAAATTTCTGGTCGATTTCACGATTTTGTATCAGGAGAACATAACATGACAGGAGGTCGCTTGCCAGAACAGTTCCAAGAAATGACATCATTTCCAAGAATTCTCGGACAAATAACTTTTGCTGCCTTGCCGTAAAATTTCTGGCCAATTTCGCGATTTTGTATCAGGGGAACATAATATGACAGGAGGTCGCTTGCCAGAACAGTTCCAAGAAATGACATCATTTCCAAGAATTCTCGGTCAATACTTTTGCAGTCGGCATGGACAATACTTTTGCCGCCACGGTGGACAATACTTATGCCGCCACGGTGGACAATACTTTTGCCGCCACTGTGGACAATACTTTTGCCGCCACTGTGGACAATACTTTTGCCGCCTCGAGGAAAAATTTCTGGTCGATTTCACGATTTTGTATCAGGAGAACATAACATGACAGGAGGTCGCTTGCCAGAACAGTTCCAAGAAATGACCTCATTTCCAAGAACTCTCGGACAAATAACTTTTGCTGCCTTGCCGTAAAATTTCTGGCCAATTTCGCGATTTTGTATCAGGGGAAGATAATATGACAGGAGGTCGCTTGCCAGAACAGTTCCAAGAAATGACCTCATTTCCAAGAACTCTCGGACAAATAACTTTTGCTGCCTTGCCGTAAAATTTCTGGCCAATTTCGCGATTTTGTATCAGGGGAACATAATTTGACAGGAGATCGCTCGTCGAGTGAATTCCAAGAAATGACGTCATTTCCAAGAATTCTCGGTCAATACTTTTGTAGTGTACATAGACAATGCCTTTGCCGCTTTTGGACAATACTTTTGCGGCGTGAAGAAAATTTTTTAACCGATTTCACGACTTTGTATCAGGAGAACATAATATGATAGGAGGTTGCTCGTCGAGACAGTTCCAGGAAATGACGTCATTTCCAAGAATTCTCGGACAATACTTTTGTCGCCTCAGCGAGAATTTTTGGCCGATTTCGCGATTTTGTATCAGAATAACATAACAATATAGAAGGTCGCTTATCGACAGATTTTTAGAAATTCACTCTCCTACTTCACTTACCTTACTTACCTTACTTTCCTTACTTTCCTTTTTTACCTTACTTACCTTACTTCCCTTACTTCCCTTACTTTATTCTTCTTACATCACATATTACTTCAACAGATATTGCCCATTCTCTATTATCAAAGTTCAAAAGAAACATTGACAATTTACAAGAGATAAGAAATATCTTAAACTTTGCGCGTAGCTCTTAGCTTGGTATCGTTGGCCAAAGATTTATCTTTCGTCAACGATACCAATTACCAGGTCTCACCACGTGGAGGTGGCTACGCGTCGAGACCCGACATGCGCCCTAGTGGCGCAGCCTGCTGGCGCTACCTGTATTAAAGGCACCCTAATCTAACTTGGAGCGAATTAAGTTAAAGTGACTCTACTGACACTTTATTTTATTTCGTGTCTTACAAAGGGAACTTCGATTCGGTATACTGAAACTCTACTGTCGCAACGCTAAGATATTTTCAAATTCCCATAAAAATAAGGAATGAAATATCAAACACGCGAGCAAATAGAAAATTGCGACACGCCCGAACGAGATCGCGATTATTCGAAAGACCGACTAGCCTAGGCGATGTACTCTCGTGTACAAGACAACTTCGTGCCTCGGCACCCTCCCGATCGAACCTAGTTCAAGTCCAGCCACTGCCGTACTCGTCAAGACTTACACGTGAACCAAGGATAGTTCCCCGAACCAGTGAAACTCCCAGAGTCGTTGCGAGGGTCCAGCGGGGTCTTGCAAGCCAGACAGACACTTCGTGTCCCTGCCCCAAGGGGTAGAACTTAATCATCCCAAGTGGTCTGACCGTAGACACTATGTCCGTCCAACTGAAGGCCCATGCCCCAGTCGCGTACGACCAGGGTGCTGGACCCCCGCATCGAATCCAGAAGAAACAGTGACCCGAGGGCCACCCTGAAACTCGATGCTTGACGAGGTTGACAGTGGTTGGAAATGAGTGTCGGAGACAAGTCGTGAGAATGACTTATGAGACGCGAAGTTGTCGAGTACACGGGAGTACGTCACGTAGGCTAGTCGGTACTTAAGAACGATCGCGGTTATCGCGAGAACAATTATGTTCTGTTTGGTAAACGAGAGGGATAAGGGAAAATATATATATTCGCTCCAAGTTAGATAGCTTACCTTTGTACAGGTAGCGCGCACATGAGACTTAGCCTAGGCATCTATCTTATAACTGCTTACAACTACTTAGGTCTAGACGCACGCATCTCGCGTCGTCCATTGATGACTACCAAATGAAGTCTTGAAGAAACTTTATAATCTTGAGAAATCTAAAAGCTAAAACAGAATACTTTATTGTTAATATAAACCTGTGAAAGGAAATGAATTAGTACGAGGAAAGAAAACGAAGGAACAGAAACCATGAAGATTAACCAAGTGGAACGAGCAACCCATCGATGAGACAGAAACAGACCAACGACGAAACATTCGAATATTATACGAAATATTCGAATGTCTAAATATAAATAAATATAAACGAAAAATAACATGTGAAATAAAAAAAAAATGAATACCTGAAAAAATAGAAAATAATTAAAATCTGGGAGAAAAAAATAATTAATAGCTGAAAATAAAAAAATATTAGTAACTTGTTTAAGGGGGTGGAGCGAGGGTGGGGTAGCCAACCCCACCTCACTTCGGACCCACCCCCACTCCCGCACTCGAAAAAATTTGAATGTTACACTCCCGAGGCCAAATCGGCAAATGACTCGAACAGCGGCTCGTCGCTCTTTATATAGCCTCCGATCGGCCGAGTCCCCCACCCCGTTGGAAAATTTTCGAACTTTGCCGATTTTATTAATTATTAATTTTCTACTGTCGTAGCCAATAATTTATTAATTTTTTCACTGTTATACAAAATTTACGTTCTAAACAATTTGTTAATAATAAATTAATATTGTATCAGTGCGATAATTTATAAACTTTTTGCAAATTGTAGGTACATTTTTATACAAATACGTCATTATTTCAAGTAATAGCCAATAATTTATTAACTTTTTACTTTTATTGTAAATTTACGTGTTGAATAATTTGTTAATAACGATATTCTTTTGTTGTTAATAATGAATTTAATAATTTATAAACATATTTTATGAACTTTAACTACAATCGTAGAAAGGAAACTTTGAGCAGAGTAGTTGAGGTTGGGAAGGAAATTGGAATTTTCGGTATAAACGAGACTCCATGGGTAGTACTGATCCCGAATGAACGATCTGACAGAGAGTGAAATGGTGAGAGAGAGGGGTGAAAGCTTGGCGTAATCGCGGCATAGTTGGCTCGCGTGCCGACTCGGGAGGAATCCGATTCATCCTTTGACTAGTTGTCGACTTTGCCCGTAATCAGTGAAACATCGGCGAACAAAGCGTCGAGATATCGATGAAACCGGCGAGTATAGTCGGCAATTTTGCGATCATTACCTTTAATTTAATTCTGTAATTTAATTGATTCCGTACTTTAAGAATGACTAAAAGAAGAGATGAGAGGAAAAGATATAAATGGATAAATTTGGTTTCAGGGGGTCTGGAGATCGGCGCACACGCCACTATGAGCCGGAGAATCATCGTGATCTTGAGTCCGGCTTCCCTGGGAAACGTTTGGAACGAGACTAGCATCGGGGCGGTGCTGAACCAGCTGTCATCGCTCGCGACGCGAACAATAGTGATCGCGACGAAGGACCTATCGAACACAACCATGATCGCCAAACGATCGAGTCGGAGTTGCAACGACGGTAGCGAACTCTCGCTCGATCGTTTAAAAATACTGCACTGGGACGAAACTGGAAACTCGACTTCGGGTAACCAAAAGTTTTGGTACAAGCTCCGGCTCGCTATGCCACCGGTTCGACCGATTAGTTCCGAAAGTGGCTGCCAATCGGTCGCCATGATCGTCCAGGCGAACGGGAAATGCGGACAACAGAAGGCCCGATCGCGCGAAAGTCTCGAGGTTCTCGTCTAATCGGGAACCGAATGATGGCGTGATAAAAAAAAAAAAAAAAAAAAAAAAAAAAAAAAAAAAAAAAAAAAAAAAAAGAAAAAGAAAAGAAAACGAAAGGGAAAAATCGATTCCTAATGTATCGTCGCCTGTTCCCGCGTTTCTACCTTTTGCCTCCGCTCGAAGCGACGCGTAGCGTCGAACGTGGTCGTTAACGCCTGTCACGGTGTGCGCGCGTATGATGCCAGATATTCTCCTTCGTTTCCGTTCCGCTGCAAGCGTTTCGGGACACACCGGTATTCGTCGCGCGACTAGACGTCTCGAAAGATTTGTCGTGTGACACGGTAAACGCATGCGACGGCGAAAGTCGTATCCTCGACGAATCTCGAAGAAACGATCGCGTCTATGAAATGCTTCCCGCAGTGATCTTACTCGCGATACTCGAACAACAGCTGTTGCGCGATGATTCGTCGTTTTAGCCTGCGTATTTTAACATGACGCAATTTTGGACGCTCCTCAGCGTATATATTCGCGAGAAAAGCTACAATACGAGACGAATTTCCTTTCAACGTATGAATCGTTTGTTATCTGTAGCGCGCGGCACTTTTGAAACGATTTGTACGTATACTCGCTGTTTCTAAACAAAATATTGTTTTATCGTAACGAGTTACCACGAATGCGTGTGACTGTATATTCATCGCGAAGGATACGCCCTCTTCTTCGACGTGCGCACGCGCACCATGTTCCGTTCTGTTTATCTTTCGCTCGTCAAGTAGGCGACATTTCGCGACGGAGGAAAATTCTTGGGAATCTCGTGAACACGGAGAAAGCTTCGAGCGAAAGGATAGAACTAAAATCTCAGACAAGTTAGAAGAAAGCATAAAGGAAAAGGCGAGGAAAGAAAGCGAGTCTTTCGTTGCTCGCTTATATACGCATTATCGCTTATTGCGTAGTAACCTCTCGTTTTCTCTCTTTGTATATATCGGATAAATCGGTGCTGCATTATCCTTATTTATTACTTAGCTAGGCCGTATTATTTATACACCGTTTAGATTTAGCGACTTCTCGAATTAGTGTCGAAATCACGAATTATATAAAAGCCGCGTCTACGTTTTCGGGCACACTTTTCTAAGCGGATTTTACGCGCGAATTTTAAGAAAGAAATTTACGCACGATAAGACTAATAATAAATATAATAGGTATTTTGTACTGGTTTGTATATACATGTAAAATGGGGAAAAGAAAACATGTGCGTGCATAGGTGCATGCATGGATGTCTGTTTGTATGTATGTACGTATGTATGTATGTATGTATGTATGCATGCATGTATTATATATCAGTTTTTATTTTTTCTTTTTTACCGTTTTTTCAGAATTATCATTGCGCCGAACGAATACAAGGCACTTAGAAAGATGTATCTGCGAACGTAACGTCAGACGATAATCCTGTAATTCTAATGTTAGGGTAACGATTATCTGCAACTATACGATATATACACGTTCTATATATACATATAGTCTAGCCGTTATATCCGCGTAATTGTACTTTAAATGTTACGTACACGCGCAGATCCGCCACGTGAGCTTAATTTTAATATCATAGTAATCTCTTTACTGTCAGTATTACGATACACTAGTGTTACTTGTCTCGCGAGAATATGCCTGTACGATTCACTAGCGTCGCAGGCAATTGTTGCGAGCCGAGTATGAGCAGAGTATAGACATTAGGAGGTATACTTCTTGTTTCTTTAGCGATATAGAGGGTGACAAAGCGACCATCCTCTAATCGTTCGTCGTCGCGTTTCTTTTTTATACGTCGCGTAGTCACGTCGAACGCGTGGCCCCGTTCATAGGATTTCCTATTAAAAAAACAGAACGGTGAAAAATATATGTGTACACTCGATTGCATCTCGATTCTCGTTTGATCCCGTAAATACCGAATAGAATCGGCGATAATACAAGGCTCTATATATGTACCAAATATTAAACGCCCGTTTCTCATCGTCCCAACGTGTAATAGGTAGCAAACGAAAATTGTTGTTCGAGAATTCGATAATAAACAAAGAGTATTTATATTTCCAGAAACCGTGTGTGTGTGTGTGTGTGTGTCGGATTGTCACTTTCTCTTTTTAACGTATATATATATGTATATATATATACATATATATATACACGATACAACGCATTGCGTTTCGCAAACTTACTGAGAACCACTGCCGTTTTGATAGTCTAACTGCAACGACGACTACGCTCGTCGCCCAAACCGTTTTTCTTCTGCAAAACAAATTTCAGGAAATCCTTTGAAACTGAAACGAAAAAGACAATGTATTAACGAGATAAACCATTCTCTACATTTATATTTTTCATTTATGATATAATTAAATTACATAGGCAATTGTATATAAGGCAGTTGATTTCACCTAAAAGTACAATGTAATAACTCGTACGATAAATAATATTAGTGCGTGGAATAATAAGTACGAGGTATAAACCTTTTAGAATTTTGTACAAGAAAGAATTCCATTAACTCCTGACACAGTACAAACTGGCAAAGTGATTGTTCGGGTTGATAACGCTATTCTCGTTTATTTCGTATTATGAGTATTCGAGACACATATCCCTCGAATCTATAACGACGCAAAGGAAAGAAAAACTCTTAAATTCGTATTTTTTCTTTTAACGGTCATATGTGTGTACATATATGTCACAAGTACGATCCACGGTGTTTTAATAAACCTGTTTCCCACGTAGCAACAACAATGTGTGGGTAAAAATGAATCGCTACAGCGAGGTAAAGTTTTTTTTATTCCTTAATTGTAATACGGTTTCTACAAAAGTAGCTTTTTTTTTTTTTTTTTGTTTTTGTTTTTTATTATTACGTACTTAAGTACGTTTACGTTTCGTCACGGGTTCTTTACGGCAATATTTATCAGAATACGATGTCAAGTTCGTTTACAAAAATCTATGTAATAATACTGTGTAGATGAACACGAAATTCGGTGAAAAAGGAATCTCGTCCGAAGGTGGCATATGCTTTGACAACAAAGTTAAGTAACCCCACAAGTTGATAATCGGATGATTTTCGGAATTTTATTTATGAATTGGCAAATGCATCGTAAAATTATCAAAGTGCAGATGATGTACGATTCTCGTAATTTCGACGAGCGACTTGCTTCAAAACTTCTGCCATTGACGGTCCTGTTTCCTTTATCATATTCATTAGATACCCATTCTTTTGAATCAGCAAATGCGGAGCATCAAATTCCTGTGAGATTGAACAAATTCGTTAAATCGCTTTTCTCTCGATTTACTTTCAATTGAAAAATATATAACGGGCAATGACGACACTTACCACTGCGTTGCCGGCATCCATTACCAAAATTCGATCACTGTCCATGACGGTGTTCAGCCGATGAGCGATAGTTAATACTGTACAGCTTTCGAATTTTGTACGAATCAATCTTTGAATGAGCTCGTCGGTTGCTTGATCGACATTCGCGGTAGCCTCATCGAGAATGAGGATAGTGTTCCTTTTCACGACCGCGCGTGCCAAACAGACCAGTTGACGCTGACCGACACTCAAATTGGAACCACCTTCGTTAATATGAGTCTCTAGCCCCATTTCCTTTAGTTCGACTTCCTCTAACGCTTGCCATAGCACATTATCACTGTAATTATCGAATGGGTCTAAATTTTTCCTCAATGAACCCGAAAACAAAAAAGGTTCTTGAGGGATAATACTGATCTTCGATCGCAAATCATGAAGACCAATCTCGCTGATATTGACACCATCGATCAAGATATCACCGTCGAGATAGGCGAGGCGGAACAGTGCTGAGATTAAGGATGACTTTCCCGCACCTGTTCGTCCGACAATTCCTATCTTTTCTTGCGGATAAATTACGATGTTCAGATTCTTTAGTACTGGAGGTTCAGCCGGATCATACCTCATGAATACGCCCTTGAACTTAATCTCACCCTCTTCCGGCCAAGTTTCCTTGGGTTTCTTGTCTGGAGTACTTTCGAGCGCTGGTTCATTTTCCAAATTGCTGAAAATACGATTAATTTTTTGTAAGCAGCGTTCGCTGATTGGCGAAAATAAGGTTATAATTTTCTTAGTACGCTTACCTGTACTCCAATACACGTTCCACTGAGGTCATTTGATTTTCGAGCTCGGTACTTTGTCGCATGCCCCACTGGAACATTCCAGTTAATCCGATACTTTGCGTTATAGCTAAACCAACATTACCGCTTTGAGAATCACCATTATTTAGTACCAAAAAACTCAAGGTAACGAGAGTGATATAGATAACGCAGAAGAAATCCAGCCAAAACCCAAATGCTCTTGATGAAGATATGAATATAAACCATGCTGATGAATGTAGGTCTTGGTGTTGATCGAATTCCTTCGTCAGAATTTCTTGCGCTCCAAAGGCACGAATAGTTGGCAATCCTTGCAAAGTTGCACTGAGATGCCCAAATACCGGGGAACGAGCTAACGTTCGTCATTATAAATTGTTTAATCATTATAATTTCTCATTCCACAAATCATTGCAAAATTCTTCTTTTAGATATGACAGACGATAAAACTGAAGAGTAGAAAAAGAATTCTCCTCTCTTTGAGAAAAAAAAAACAAACAAAAAAAGAAAAAAGAAGAAGGTAGATGCAAATAGAATTAATTGTATATAAGGTAAGTACTCACTAACTCCTTCCAGTCGTTTGACGCTGCGACTAGTTGCCACGTAGAACACACGAATGTAATAGAAGATTACTGCGATGATTACGGTGGGTATCATCAACCAATAATTGGCTATCCCGACAACAACTACAATACCAAGAAGTGACAAACCAATTTGTAAACAGTCAATCAAAACTGAGGGTAAAAGTTCGTCGATAGCGCCCATATCTTTTGAGAATCTATTAAGAACGCGACCCGATGTATTGGTATTGAAAAATCTCATTGTTGCTCGACTTATGCATCGGAACATGCGATCGTGTAATCTAGTAGATGCTTTCATGCACATCGAGAAAAAGGTGACGGAACGTGTCAAAGTAATTATTACAGTGGAAACAATCAAACCACTGTATATATAGATACAAACATTACGGCTTATTGGACCTTCCCAGTGCTCTTCAATGCCGTTTTTTGTTTCATTCACCTTTAAACAAACATGTTTACTTGTTACAATTGATAAAAAATGAAAGGATAAAAAGGAAAAGATAACATTTATGATAATTACATATTTTTCTTCCATATTAACCCACTGAGAAATGAAGAGGTCGCAACAGCTGGCTAACAACTGCGCGACTACACAAAGTAAAGTAACCGTAACTACGATAGACCAGTTTCCACCTGCGGTGAAATATCCTTTGTACACTTTACCGGAAATTTTGCCTTTCGTACGCGTCTCAGCTACCTATGGATAATTTATAAAAAAAAAAAAAAAAACTACACATGATTTCCGTTACTCTTTATTTACTTTCATGAGCATATTTACCTCAACTGGATCTTCTATCTCGGAAGTATTAGTCTTTACCGAACTCAATGATGTGATACTGGCATGTCGAGAAGTACTTCTGCTTGCGGGAGCAGATCCTGATTTTTCTCCCCCATCGGTCGATTGATTTTCCAATAGTCTTCCAAAGTCTGTTCCCATTGAGATAAGCTCGTCGTAAGAACTGTAATATGTAATATACGATTTAAATAACTAAATAACTCGGAAAAAGAAGATATAAAACCGTTTTGCACGAACCCATCACATTGTATTTCTCCCTCTTTCAAAACGATTATTCTATCGACATTTCGTAAGTACTGTAGCTGATGCGTAACAAGAATTCTAGTCTTTCCCTTTAAGTACTTAACGATACATTCTTCGAACATATGTTTGCCCACATGAGCATCGACCGCGCTTAACGGATCATCCAGTAAGTATATATCCGTTTCAGCATAGATCGCTCTGGCTAAATTAATCCTGCATATAAAAATCGACAGATTAATTGTAACACGATATCATCAATAACATATATCAGGATTATAGTAATCACTGACCTAGCACGTTGTCCACCTGATAAACTAATTCCTCTTTCACCAACAATCGTTTTATCGCCGTACGGTAATAAAGCAAAGTCTCTTTTCAATTGACAACATTTAACTACACGATCGTACCGAAACTGATTCATATCTCTGCCAAACAAAATATTTTGTCTAACAGATCCGGCAAACAACCATGGTTCTTGACTAGCATATGCAAATGTCCCATTCATCTACAAAACAAAAATTATATAATTATTTACATATATAAGCAAGATATAATTATCTAAGAAACAATACCAACTTGTAAAGTACCCGCGGTCAAAGGCAATTCCTTTAATAATACATTAAGAAAACTACTTTTACCAGAACCAACTTGACCAACAACGACAATTAATTCGCCTGGTTTTACGTTAATGTTAAAATTCTTTAGTGTATCTTCTTCTTCATAAGGAAACCATCTGGTACTAGCATTCTTCAACGATATAATATGTTCTTGTTGATAATTATTTGTATCGACTATGTTATGTACACCTTTCTTGTCCTTTTCATCTTTTGATTCCTCCTGCTTGTATTCCGTTTTTTTCTGGTTTGTTTCCTTAATTTCTTCGTAACACATAAACTTTTGTAACCGTTTTATAGAAACTAATAACTCAGCTACTTGAGTTATTCCTATGATATTAATTATTCTATTAGATTTAATTAATCATTAATAATTGCGTGTATTCAAACGTACTCACCTTGTGGAAAAAAGACAGTCATATTTTGCCGTAAAATATTATAATATGCCTGCAGCATGAACACTTTTTCAGCAGTTATCTTACGATCGTACGCTATATATGCTAGTATAGTAACAAAAAGTGACATTCTTGTAGTGAACATTATGAAAGACATGGTGATACCTCTGACTATAGACATAATTCGTATAACATTTATTTCTCTCCTGCAACAATATCAAAGACGTTGATATTTACGGATATTAATAGACAATAACACATTTTTAACAGACAAATAATACCTCCTTGCTCTTTCAACCAAATTGCTAAACGGTTTCTCCCAGGTATACATTTTGATTGCCTGGATACCACCAATAATTTCATTAGTTAATCGGACTCTTTCATCTGTTCTCATGGCCGTTTTTAACCTGAATACCGAAGACTTTTTACCCAAGTATCCTACATATTTAGAGGAAGAAATAAAGAAAGGAAGAGAAAAGCATGATATAAAATAAACAAAAAATTATATGCATTATATTTGAAGATATGTTTGTAAAGTTATTTCTATTACCTTGTAAAGGAATAAACAGCAGGAGAACTATTATTCCAAAAATAGCAGACAGTTCAACTTCTCTGTACATTAAGTATGCTATAATGACAGTTTCCAGTGGTCCAATCCACAAGTAATGTAAATATATAAGTGCTATGTCGAATCTATTAACATCATTGGACAAGAGATTCACTGCTTGTCCCACTGTTGTTTCACCCAAAGCAATTCTTGAAAGCTTCAGTGCTTTTCTGTAGATTAATGTACAACAAGCCACACGCAGCTTCATTCCCATGTGAAGTATCCCCATCATGTATGGATGAGTAAAGAATATCATTATACCTGAACACAGTACTACACCTCCTGCATATAAATAGGCAGTTTGTTTCGTGACCACCGTGTCGTTATCGATTGTATAATATCGCAGAAGCCGACCAAGGAATATTGGCTGCATTATCCTGTATATAAAATAGAAAAACTTACTATTAAAGAACTCTTAATTGGAAGGTTAATCAATCAACTAACATAATTGCGAACTACAAAAAAAAAAAAAGAAAAAAATACACCCAAATTAGTATTAGTAAATACTACTTTTATGTTAACTAAATAGCAAATAAGTTTGTTTTACTTTTTATGCAGGGGAATAAAAGAGAAATATCAAGCAATCTAATATCAAATATGAGAGGAAAGATTAGTAGGTACAAGAAACAATGAATTTAGGGACTTAACGGTTTCATCGCATCGTCAATTTCATGAACTTGCGAATTAGAAGAATTGTATAATCTGGTCATTATGGTATGTAGCGGTATAGATTCAAATTTCGTTTGATTGTAGTAACGAATCAAAAGACCAATAAACTGGGCTTGTGATAATCTGAACAGGTAATCAGGCTTTAAAATGAAACGAATCGAACTGTCGAAGTTTATATAATCGTAATAAATGTTATATAAATTAAACGAACGATCATGTACCTCAAAACAATATCCGAAACGGCTAGAACTATTCCATATAACATTAATCGAGGTCCAAAACATTTGAAAAGCACCTTTACTAAACTAGGTTCTTTTAACTTCTTTTTCTCATCACTTTTCTTTCCTTCATTCGATAATTTCTGTTTTACATAAGTTTTATACTCCTTTTGCCATGTTCTTGATAACTTAGTACCTAAATAATCGCTTGTATGCTCTTTCAAGGGTTTATATAAATCACTTATTTCTAAGTCTCTTTGATAACCAGTCCAAAATGTAGGAAACGTAAATCTGTCAACAAAAGTCGTAAATCATGATAATATTTATATCTAATGTTATTTCAGTGTTAAAGAGTAAGCAATGTGTTGGCAATTTTACATTCCGGTATCTCTATATCAATGACTGAGCCAAATATTACAAGGTAGGAATATTATCTGTTTTCGAGCAACTAATATCAATGGTAACTGATTAAAGATAACAAAAAAGTTCCTTCAAAAGGTTTTGTCTTTGAATACTAGTAGATAAGAAGCATCATTAAAAACTTCATCTATTGATTTAATAATGGAATTCAAGATAATTGTTATTCTATTTACCTAAGGCTTCCTTGAATCAGATTTAAAGGTGTTTCCGAGACATTGCTTACTTATCAATATGATTTCATGTTTTTATTAGTGATTTACTGGTAAAGAATGACAATGTAAAAAATGAATAAGCTGTTAAATCTTTAAAACTTACGCAAATGTTAGAATGCTAAGAGGATTAGCACCTTTTCTAGGATTCTGTTTCCTCTCTGCTTTTACTTTTCCATCCATAATGATTTTTAATTTATCAATTAATTTTTCCTGCAAAATTAAAAAAATTTTTTAATTTTAAACTATCTACTTAAAAACAAATAAAATGATTATAGCGTGCATTCATAAATTCATTATTTATCTATAAATAAATACAAATGATAGGTAAATAAATAATTAAAGTATATGTACTTGTTCTGATAACTGATCTACAGAATGATATGCTACAAAATTAAATTTAATAATACAAAATACACCTTGGAAATATCAATAAAATTATCAGATTTATAATAAGCATCGATACATATATTATTGGATATCATTGTTTTCAGCTTTATATCTAACACTTTTACTTCTAACACTTATACTGAAAATTAATGGTTGCTCTAGTCCTTAGAAACTTTCAAGGATTCTATTTTATATCAATACAAAATGATTACCAAACAGGACATGTTAAATAAACAATGCTTAGCAATCTACATCTTGATGCGTTTGATATATTGGAAAGGTGTTTCATGTTAAATACTTTATATAATACGCAAATGGATGTTCGAAAAAATGCTTCAATGACCAATCGATCAAAGTGTTTGTTATAATATAAAATGTAACTGTAGGGCTTCAGCACTTAACTTCGAAATTACAAAAAATTGACCGGCGAAAGAGATGGACAAAACAAGTTTAATGTACGTGGCAGTAAGTAGAATTTAAACTATCGTAATAACAAGCTATGATCGATCGATGTCCTTATTAATTACAAATGATTAATCAATTCATAGAATTGCATGCAATAGACAAATTGTCATTGAAACACTTTCGAACTAAATCTGGCTTTGATCCATTTTCTGATAGGTTGAAACGAAAAATATTATTGTAGGGAACGATAAAAAAAATAAAGGAATCTTCAGTCAAAATTTTGCATCACTTACGATCAAAAAGGATAGACGTATTTATTTTCCGGCATATGAATGTTCCATTCCGTTTCAACTGTTCAACAACTCGTTGAATGACTAGTAACACCCACTAAAGTAGAAAGTCGTTACTTGACTGAGCAGCGCTGGTCTGTATTCACATGTGTCATTGCTTAATCTTAAATTAATACGTGATAAAGCACCGTACATATCTATACGTATATCTATACATTTCTTTCCTCCTATGTCCGTATCTCTTTCAAATAGCGATCAATACGGCATCTTTTGACCACGGAATGAAAAAGAAGGATTTGTTTATCAACAGTACATCTTCAATATATAAGCAAAACAGATCTATCAAGATAATCAAATAACAAATTGATAGCTGGTTTTAATTAAACACGTGACATTGAACGGATCATGATAGTCAAAGAAACTATTTTCAACTGTTACATCAAAATTTCGATCACAATGAATAAAAACTATTGCCACCTAGCAGCAAAACTTGTAACTTTCGAATTAATATGATCGTTCGAATTGCGTGCTATCAACGACTGGTAATAAAGATATCTCGATAACACAGGTATTTCCTAAACTGCTGATTAACGTATAAAAATATTTAACGTAAATTTCTAAACCAAATAATCTAGGGTTTCCCAGTAAAATAATAGTCGACTAGATTTAAGCTTTATTTCATGGAATTTATCGAACTGTCGGTAACATCATCGTACAACGTATTAATATCGTACGTATTAAAAGTTAAGGTAAATTCAATAGAAATGTATTAGAAATATGGATTAAGTACACAACGCGTACGCATACAAAGAATCATTGTTTGTCGGCAGACTGTAGCTTTATGTCTTACTTACAATTATATATCTTCAAAATCTACACTCGCATTATTAACTCGAACTTTTTCTGATTCTTACCTTTTTATCCTCATATCGTTGTTATCAATCTTTGAAACGAGTAATCGTCGTTTAAATAACATACTTACTATATGTTGTTAAAAACAGGTAACTAAGAAAATTGTACAAATATTAGGAACTAGCATCTTAATCATCGGACATGATATTTCGATCATGCCCGCTTCTTCTTCTTCGTATGACGCACTTTGAATTAAGAAAGAAATTCGACGAATCTAGGCAATAGACTAACGATATTTGGCACTTTTCGTAAAAAAGCATAATATTACGGTAAGTTCGAATTTTTCACTATATTTGGGGAATACACATTTGAGGTTGGAAACTTAAAAAAAAAAAGAAAAAAATTAGCATAAATGCACTTGAAAATTGGTCGTAAAAATAACAAAAAAAAAAAACTTTCTCCGATAAATATAAATAAATATAATATTTAACACGAGTATACGTTACATACACGTATGTATGTTACGTGTGTATATTAAGTGTGCGCGCGTTGCGTGCGCTTGTGTGTACGTTTATATCATGTATATATACACTCTGGATGGAACAAAGATCGTTCGAAAGACGCGTATACTTTTCGTAATAAGAATTATATCGTGTGAATCGGCAAATCGCTGATTATGTGAACGAATTAAAGGTACTTTTTCGATCGATCTTCATAAATCGTTTCTCAAAAAGAAATTTACGTATCCGGCTAGTTTACGATTTTAGAACATCCATTAATTCCAACGACTGTCGGGTAATAGCAACACGAATATCGAAATTCCGATATCGTGCACAACGATCAGAATTGTTGCTTAGTTACTACTAGAAACCGGACAAACGATGGGCATTCGAAATATCGGTTTTCGATTAAATTCGCAGATTATTGGTAAAGTCGTACCACGATAGTAATCTGAGATCGCACAGTTACATATATATATTCTTATCCTTTTTTTTATCGTTTTCTCTTTTCTTTTTTTTATTTTCTTTTGAGAACACAAACATAGTGATGTATTTAACCGTGATTTTATTTTCAGCCACTTCGTCCGTTTCACCAGATTCGGCGTTCGCTTGGAAATTTCTTGCAACGCAAGTTGAAAATACGGCGACAAATGATCAGTCGTCGCAAATACTTAGAGCTGCCTCTGAATAAATCTACTCTTCATCCGTACGGAGTATTTGTCTTAGCGAATAGAACGCTAAAACGACAGCGAAATCAAACGCTGACGCAACAACGCTTTGGGGGAAATTTCGAATCGGGGAAGCCATAGGGTTCGAGGAAATCGATACGAAAAATTTGCTCACAGGATAGAGGCTGCGGTTCGATCCAGTCCTCGCAACCCAATATCCTATGGTACTACTTATCGCAATGGCATCCTGTGCGCAGAAAGCAGACAACACGTCCGTTTTAAACGCAAGTTAGCCGTAAGTTGGTTGAAAGCAAGATTTAATATCGGTTCCCTCGAACGCGAGCCTCGTAAAAGAAACTTTATTCCGCATTTTCGATCTATGTTCTTAGGAGGATGGAGGAAGATCGCTTCCGTTCTTCGTTATATCACACCTGTTACGGGATACTCCAGCACATTGATAGAAAAGTCGAGGTTCCACGTAGCATCGCCGTAGAAGAGCCAAAGTTGCATCTGCAAAGAAAAATTGCACTGAAGCGTGTTTCCTTATTAAGTTGGTCTTCCACGGTTCGTTCGTTCGTTCCTTCGCGCGATCCAGGAACGTAGAAGCGAAAGGACGACAGGTACTACTGTGCGTTCGAGAAAAGAAGACACAGCGTGTCTACATCCTCATGGTAAACTTCGCTAACATTCCCGTGATCACGGGCAGTGATGTCACCGATAATCTTTGTCACCGTTTTCAGCCAACAGGTCACTGCCTGTGATCAAGGGAGTGTCAGTGGAGTTAATCAGCCGCGAAGATGTGAACACGCTGTGCTTTCTTTACTCGAACGCACAGTACCTCTGTTTGGCAACGCGACGACGTTGCACCGAAGCTTCAGGTGTTCTCCGGCTGGTTCAAATTGCTGTTGAGCAACTCGGTGTTGGCGTTGTTCGCGTTCAGTCTCTGTTCCTCCTTCAGCTTCTTCTTCCTCCGCTTGTTTCTCTTGTGCACGCAAAACAGGCTAATGAATAAGCAGAAGAGGAAGCCAGAGATGCAACAGGCGATCAATATCCACGTGGTCCTGGCCTTTTCCGTCTCAACTTGCAACCGCAGAATTTCCGTGCACCGATCGTACAGTTGGATGGTTCTGTTGCTAAAGGCAGGCTGCGCGCAGCCTCTTTCTTGCTCCTCGGTGCAATTGAACACCGGTCGCGAGCGTATTCCACGAGCGTATATCCACGCGTTCAACGTCTGGCACTCGCAATTGTTGGCGTCAAACTTGATCGGATTTTTCGACACGTCGAGAATCTTCAGCGAGCAGAAGGGTGCCAGATCCTCCGGGGAAACGGAGCTGATAGCGTTGTCGGAGACGTTCAGATTTACCAAGGTGGGCATTGCACCCATTTCGGGTATCTTGCCGAGTCTGTTCCTGGCGAGTTGCAAGAAGGCCAACGGGGACGTCACTTCTATACGTTTGAACAGATCGTCGGTGAGCTTGTTGTTATACAGATAAATCTTCTGCAGATAGGGTAGCCGGAACAGGCTCTTGGGCAGGGTGTCGCAGCCGTTGGTCGAGAGATCGAGTACCTTCAAGTAGTGCAGGCTATCGAATGCCGCCTCTTGGATCTCCTGAATAAAATTGTCGCCCAGATAGAGATAGGCGAGACTCGTGTACGCGGATAAACTGTCGTTCGTTAGCACCCGCAGTCTGTTCACGGACGCGTCCAGGATCTGTGGGAAGAATCGCCGGTTACAACGATGACGAACGATCGGTGGGTAAACCCGGAAAGCTTCGCGTCTCACCTGAATCTCCGTTTTCAGATTGGTGGGGATCCATTCGAGGTGCAGATTCGAGCAACGGACTTGAATCATCGAGTATGCCCTGCTATACCGGCAGGTCCTCGACGGGATGTCCTGATCCATGACGAGCGTCGCGCCGGAAAATCCGACCACCATGGTACCTGGCATGATGGCCGCGACGACACCCAGCATCAGCAGTCCGTTCATCAGGGACACGCTCATGTCTGTAACAGAGAGGCGAGATTTTCTCGTTGAAACTGCGGTCTTGTTTTCGCCTCCATGTCTCGGATCATGGTGGTTGACGTTTCGAGACACGCGAAAACTCGAGGATCACGGGGCCAACGTCACGCTGCGATTTTCCACCGCGAGAAGTTGGCTCTTCGTCGTTGTACGCGCGAACTCGGAACGTTCCGGAATCGTGAAAGTTTCAAGTTTGGAAAGGGTTGACGAGAATGGCTCGAGAACGAGCAGAGATTGGCTGTTTCGCGGAGGAAAACATCCCGCGAAGAAAATTGCGAACATTCGACGCGACAGGGGATGCTCGCAGACGCGGTATGCGCTGTGCCAGAGATCTCGATCCATTATTCCGTGTTGACCGCTTTCGGGCGCGAACAATGAAGAGAGAATTTCCGGGAGGCATCTTCGACGCGGCATTTCCTGGGTAGGAACGCGCAAACGGCTCTTGTAAATCTTCCACATAGCTCGGGATACCTGCGAATCCCATAGTCCCTTCCGGGAGGCTCTGCTGCTCGGCGGGTAGCTCAAAAAATTCACCCGGTCGATCGGATTGGCGCGAAACGAAGCGAAAAGGTTCCGTGACACTGGTTCCTTCGAAGAATTACCGAATCGGAGCGCAGATTTCGTTGACTCGGGGAAAGACGTGTCGGAGTATGCGACGAGATTGCATTTCGGAGGCTTCCTTGTGCGGTTCTCTTATCGCGGAAACTCATCGTCCAACATTTTCCAGGCTGATGGCGGCTCGGCCGGAAGTCGGTTATCGTCAGGTTGCAAGAATTCGTTGGTTCGAGAACTCGCGGGAAATTCGCGCGTGGTTCGAGCAAGCGTCGAGTGCTCGAAAGAAGATCGCCGACTCGTGTTTATTGTACCAAGCTTTGATGAACTGCAGAAGCAGCTCCGCTAACGTAAGCCATCCATATCCTCCCCTGGCGAACGTGGACTCGAAGAAGGGAATTGCACACGCTCGACGGATATATTTTCTGCCGTTGTCCGCGAAATTCGAAGCTCTGTGTCGCCGGGACCTTGGCACTCGGCTGTTGCACCGAATATACGAACAACTTACGCTGGATGGGTGGTTGAAAATTTGAAGAACGCTCATCTGTGATCGCGTTAGGGTGACAGGGATGAATTTTTCGACGAGGGGTGAAGGAATTTGGGACGAGGAGCTAGCAAACAGCTAGGAAACAGCGAGCGGACGAGTGGACGTAGGCAGAGATTCGGAGAAGCTTTGGGGAAAAGAGACGTTTCGCGGAGCTTTCGCGGCTCGACTGGCGAACGAAAATAGCCAGTGCTATCGCGAAGGTGCATTGGTTATACGGCAACAGGTCTGCGAAATGTATCGGCAGAGGCTGAGAGCTCGATCGTGGCACGCGTGTACACGTTCCGATTATAGCCCGCGATATTCCCGTCGATTCTTATCTGCGACTTTGCGCACAGCGGGAAACACAGCCGACGAGGGCGAAACCGAGAGACGGGGTATAGATGTTAATTAGAGACGAGCGAGATGATTAGCGGAGATCGCAGGGTGTCCGTGGAGCGAGATAAAAGGCGAGAAGCTGTTGGCGCATAGGTGGGCCAAACTCGTGGAAATAAATTAGGAAGTTCTCGTGTATCGTGCGATTCAATTAGCAGGTGCGAGTTTGGGATCTCTATTGCCGTTACTCCTATTATCCAAATATGTACTCAACTATCCGAACACTCTGTTATTCGAGTGCTTTTTCTTCCGCAGCTCTGACTTCGTATCCTGCAAAAGCACACCAGTCGTACCGATTCTGACGCCAACACGTAACAGCACGAGATACGAATCTTCCTTCGCCTGGATAAATACCTATCGCGATTATGCGTTTATATATATATATTTTTCAAATTTTCTATAACGCGATTAATTCGTACCGCGTTATAAGAAAATCGGAATTAATTGAAATCGGGAAATGCGTTGCATGTAAACCGCGTTACGATAAACATAGTAATAAGACAAATCAGATTAATTTATACCGCGTTATATACGAACAGCGCTATAAGAGATACAAATTGAACGAATTCGCACCACGTTATATGGAAACTCAGATATAAATAAATCGTACATAAATCGGATATATATAATAACTGCATTCTCAAAGTATCAAGGTGTGACTGATACGGTTACTAAATAAAATTTTCTAACAGAAATGGCAATGAATACGTAGATTTTTACATATTTGAATTTAGGGTTATCGAATGCGATACATAGTTCGTATGATAAAATTATGTACTAAAAAGATTGTTTCGCAGTCGGCTAAACCTCCAATTCTTTTCTAATGTTTATATAAAAATTCGATCTCGGAATCAAAACTTATTTTTCCACCGATAACGTATACGTAACAGCACACTTCGCGAGTCTCTCTGGGAACGCGAATTAGCATGAAACGAGACCCGTTGATTCACGATTCGGCGTGTATTTCCGCGCGGAAAATGATTCACGATCATTTGGCAAGTGGACGATGTACCGATCGGAGGGTGACCGGTTGAGCTTGGCAGTTTTTCACCGGTGTCCACGAGAGCTTTGGAACGCAGTTTGCGACGCGTGCGTTTTACGAGAACACGGTCCAGCGCGATCGTTCGCGATAATTGAAGTCGCAGGGCAAAAATGTAGCCGGCGAAGTGAAAAACTCGCGAGTTTCCAGGTTTTCCCAACCTTTACCCGACGTGAGCCGTGTTAGCTGGTAATCGGATGCTCGGTTCGCGGCGCCCCGACGCAGAGACAACAGGAAAAAATTCGTTATTCGCGGATGAAGGAACGATGGTCCATCGTAGGAGGGTGAGCGTGACACAGGGCTAGTTTCTTAGCGGGGAAAAAGGCAAAGAGGCTGCTGGATCGCGAATCGTTTGATCCTGGAACACGCGTTTCTCTCGCGTGTAAACGCGCTTTATACGAGCTCGCTCGGCCGACACGCGCCTTCACGCGTTTCGCACGCGTTTCTCTCGGTTGCAACGAATTCGCACCACCCTCTGCTCTTTTCCCTCGATCGCGGCGCACCGGCGAGAACCTTCGTTCCTCGGCTAATATCCGATCGACGCGGATCGAAGGAGAGTTCCATCGTTCCAGCGGGACGCATCCGAGCGGAACTGTCGCTGACGTTTCGCCTCCGTTTTCCGCCCGATCATGCCGGAATTTTGCATATTTTCGCATCGACTGCGACTTCGATCCCCGCTGATACGAAATTGCTCGCAGACAACCGAACCGCGAGCTTTCTCTTACATCCGCGCGATATTAAACGCGACAACCTGCTTTGGAAACGTCGTCATCGTCTCGCTCGCGGAGATCGATCCTGCTTCGGATAGATCGCGGTGTGCCTGGGCTGTTACACGTCTGAGGAAATCGCGATTAAACCTCGATTATTCGCCGGAGTTGAACCGTCACACGGCATTCGATGAACTTTGCTCGGATTACGAATCTCTCGCGGAACGACCCTGTCTCTGACAGATAGGGGATCGTGCGAGGCTCCTCTCTCTCTCAGACATGTCTTATCTCCGGATCGACGAAACGAAACGTAATTAGATAAGTTTTGTTTGCTCGATGTGTCGAAACGATGGTCGGGAAAGGAGAGATTCCAGAGGAAAAGCTGTAAATGGAACGCTCGTGGATAAGAATCGCGGTGACGGTCGGGAAGGGGCAACAACGGCAGATTATCGTAGATTGCTGCATGCTTTCGTGACACGTCGTTTCTGAGATTAAGTTATATAATAGTACGTGACACGTACGTGAATCGCGTTATCGCGGTGACATGTTTGCCTTCGATTTCGACAGAACGTCGAGCTGTTGCTCAAGATAAGTTGGTTATTACGCTTCGTTACGCGCGAGTCGCCGATCCACCCGCGAGTTTGCATAGACGATACTCGAGCACATTGAACCACTCGCAATCGATGTTTGTCCCCCGACCCGGCTCGTTCCTCGTCTTCTCCGCCTTCCAATCGCGTTTAAACGACAAAGAGCGTAAACACCGGGTAGATCGGCAGTGGAGGAACTCGTTGCCGCTGACAAGGAGACTGCAAGGCCTTTCAGTCACCGATTTCAGATTTTGCAGGATGGTAGATTTAGTTCCCCTGATGGCGAAAGTTATTCCCATCTTCCCCGGAATTGAACCCCGGTTCTATCCCGTAAAGAGTACTACGAGAAGAATACTGTCGCTACACCAAACCATTTCATGGTAACCTCTTTAAACTGAATTGCATTAAACCCACGATAAATCTTCGATTGCAAATATCTTGCAAATTATCGAGTAATGGCATCTATAATCGTATACCTTCGCCATCAGGGGAACTATACCATCGTACGAAATCTGAACCAAATCGGTAACTCGAGGGCCTAGCAGTGATACTCCTTGCGAGACTACGTATTTCGTATATACCTCGCACTGCGATCCGATTACGGAAAATTATGCGCGTACCTGCCCATCCATGATAAAATTGGATAAAATTTGTTTGAATTGCCTCGAGTCTCGTGCAAGTTGAAACACGTGCGATACAATTAACCAACGTTCGTGCTATAGCTGTATTCCTACTAATTAAGATGCCGTTTAGCTCTTTCGTTTGATCAGGATGATCAGGTGGTCCAGAATCGTGTCAGCCATGCGAGCCCGTTTTTCAAAACACGATTTACCCGAAAACGTAATAAGTTGCACAATTTTCAATAATTTCGTGAAAAAAGAAAATATTGGGAATGTCCTTTAAGCATAAATAAATCCACCTACGAAAACTGCGGACCAAAACCCATCGCGATTTCTCTATAAAAATATCCGAAAGAAGTCGCTTTTTATCGGTCTGATTACAAGAATAACTCTTCTTAGACGTTTAATAAAATTCTAAAGACTGGTGTCGATAAGGGTACTAAATTTGGAGTTATCGAAATCGAATGACTCTCGGATTTCGTTATTCACCGAAGCAAGAGATATAGTCGCAATTGTCGGTGAGGTCTTTGAATTTTTCCGTCACGAAAAGCTCTCGCGAA